AGTAGGAAATTAAATAAGGGATCAGCAAAAAGAAAAACAGAGGAAAGAAGAATGAGAGAAAAACATCGCCCCATCACTCGGCGATTAGCTGATTGTGCGTGGGTCCTAGAACGAATAATAGCAATCTGTATTGTCTCAACACTCGTCTAACGTGACACCGATCGAGGGGCGGGAACGCGAACTACGGCAACAACGGAGCTGCCACTATGCCCTGGACGTCGAGATTGGGGGAGTGAGAGGGTCCCTTCTACAACCCATGGGGGCCGCTGAGCATTAATAAGGTAAGAACTCAATAACTTTTTTATCGTTAACGGTGCCTTCAACATTGGAACCCTAGCACTTCAACAGGTGATTTAGCGTGTAAAAGACAGTAGACAATAGGGAACAGGGACTTACAACAACTGACAGGGGCTAGTTAGGAGCCATGGAAGACGAGTCACTGGCCTTGATGTTTTGCCATGTTTTATAGGATCACAGGATAAGTTGACAAGGAGTGAAAGTCGCTGCGCTAGTAGACCCACTGGAAAGCTTTGAACAACGGTTTCAAGGTTGTCTGCGATTGATAATGTCATCTATATTTCCAGTAATTATGTGTCTAATGGAGGCATCAGGAAGTACTAACGCTCAGATGTCATCTTCGTGTCGTAATATGCTTGCGGATAGGAACAAATTGTGGATGAAAGCCCATCAGGTTATTCAATTGTTTTTCTCAAGAGTGACCATTGACGCTACTGCCAACATATTTTTAAGAAATTATCAGCTGGCTTGTTTTCTAGATAGTTAGAGCTTTTCCTGAGTTTCAGTTCTCATGGCATTGTTTTCAATTTTGTTATACTCATTGCTAATTTCCAAGCAATAATTTTTATTTTAAATTTCTGTGCTTCTTTTTTTTTCAATGTACCGCGTTTTTAGCAATATCAAATGGCATGGCCAGAGAGTTGGCACGAAGCCTACAGCATGGTAGCGACTCATCCTAATAAGGTGAGTGATCGTCATATCAGCCTCTCTTAGTCTTCCCTTGGAACAAAAGCAAGAGAAGCGACATTTTTCCAATTGTTGGAATTACACTTTATCCTGAAATCCTACGGTTATGAGGAAAATTATCATATGTTGACAAGCGCACTTCCATTTTCAAGTTTTTAGACGGGAAAGGGAGAGTTGCCACAAGGAGATATCGTCAGCGAGCGAACACTTTCAACTTACAAAAGCCATTACTGGTTGCCGTGGTTGGAATATTTACCGTGGAATTGGAAAATTGCGCACAGTAATGTTCTAATTTCCTAGCCCAGGTAGCTCAGCATGGGACCCATGGCTCATGTTCATACCACTGGGCCACTTGATCTGGTGGCGAGTCTCTAAAGGCTACTGTCTAACGTTATTCTGAAGAGTGACGAGATATTCGAGTACTATATTACATTCTACATCTCGCAGTTTGGCCTAAGTTGTGAGTGGTCAAACTTCCCGTGAAACTTCGGATGAAGGCTTAGGTATATCGAACTTAGAATGCTGTTCATGGGCACAGAATATAAACGGCTAAAAAATCTCCCAAAAAGTTGTGAGCGCTCAAAATTTGCTTGAAGATAGTTTCTGTTTAACGGCCATACGGAGGTCGTGGGTTACTTCTCACTGCGGTCAGTTTTTGCACAGCGTGTATTCCTATAAGAGCTTCTCTAATCTTTCTGATATTCATTCGAGTAGCGCCTTATGTAATCGTTTACGCTCATAGCATTTTTCTGAAAGGGAGCGTTTCCGCTCTTCTTCTCTTCAATTATAGACGCGCAAAGGAAAGAGAGGTTAGCCGTCTCCACATGCCCGCATTGATGTTTTCCAGACAAAAGTAGTGTGCTGCATTGTCAACTAATGAATGTTCAGTTTTTCCCCTTTTCCAGTTTTTTGCGCGAATTGCTAATCGCACTAACTCCGGTACTCCACCCCTCTTGAAGTTTATCTTGAAATAATCATGTTTCCCTAGATAAAAAAATGTTTCCAAGCACCATTCTCTTTCTTTGCGTCGAGAAAATAGTGTTGCAGGGGAGGGATTTTTGAGCGTTACAGCGTCACGACGAACTTATTGAGAGAAAATTATACTAGTAAGAGTATTATAGGAGTGCGTTTGGGAATTGTGTTCAGCCAAAAGTGAAAATTCAAAAAAAAAAGCTTGGGCTTATTTACGAAGCTTACCTGTCCTGTTATAGCTCCATTAAACAATTCCTAATGAGAACATACTTTATAGCAGAGGTCTCGTCAAGACCTACAAAACAAATCGGTAGCCTCGCGCTTTTTTCATGTGTACAACATATAACAAAGAATTGCTCTGAATTCTTCACAATCCTTCAGGTATCGATACTTGGATGGTTATCCGGCATTGTTTTCTTCATCTTGCTTGTTGGTTGCTGCTGTGGTCGATTATCGAAGCGAACACATATGGAATTGAAGAACCGATAATAGGTTTCGTCAGTGCAAGAAAATTTTGCATGTTTGCCTTTGTGCCGTATTAGTTACCGTTTTCGTTTGAGAATATAATTATTTTATCCTGAATATCGGTTTTTCACCCATTTTTGCGTACTCTTTTCCATACCTTTTGAATTTATCTTCTTCACTATCATTTCCTGTTTTATACGGCTGCTCTTTTCGTACGTGTAAGTGCCAGTCCATTGTGTAGTGCATAATTCATGCGTATTTCATTGTGAATACCAGTGTGCGCGTGGCAGATATACATATAATAATTGTTTTAAAGACATGAAGACGTATGATTTTTCAAAGCGGCAACTGAATTCCATCTCTGCATATCAAAATTGCTAATGAAACATGCGTTTTACAGTGAATCGATAACATGTTTTGTGTTTGCTGCACATCATTGCCGTGTAACGCAACTTATTGAGTGGATTACGGTAGCCCAAGGTTGTGCAACTCCAGCTTAGGTCTTTATATTATTCAGGCTACGGTTGGATGTATGAATCAGCTAATCCTTCTTCAATTATTCTCAGTTGTACGAAAAAGTGCTTGAAAGAGCATCAAGAGCAATTGCCAAAGGTTTTCCATCCTTCGTTACCTATTAAATTTTTACCTTTTCCGAGTTACTATCGTGTAAAATTTGAAACCAATTCTTTTTTTTTCAAGGCGTTTTTAATTCCGTTATAGAATACCCTCGTAGAATAGTTTATGTGCTGCCGTAGTTATTTCAATAGTTTTGCCACATTTGTTGACTTGTTTTGATCGGCTTCTACTTTTCATTCTTTTTTTTTGTTGGCCGTATTTGGTGTGGAGTATAGAGGGTGATCTAGTTTGTAATCATGGTTGTTATAATGTTCTGTGATCATGTTGAGGGCTGAATAAATGTCTATTTATGTAGCAGAGTATGTATTGCATACCACACTCGAAGCATTTCTTCTGTAGTATTATTCCATTCCTTCATAAGGTTCAAATCGTAAGGGCAGGGCCCCATCGGTAATATTTGATGAATTCCAACTCGAGCCGAGTCATTCTTCCTGGGTCGTTTCTAACCGCCTCATTTGACTTTTTAGGAAAAAAAAACCCAATCGACAAAGACGTGTGAATTATCACTCGGATCAACCGGTTTGCGCCTAACTCTAGTTCTTTCTGTAACCGGGACAGAATGCACAGTTGACCCATTGTCCTCCTTATCGGAGCAGATTCATTTCGGACAATGAGTTTCCCCAACAAGAATTTCTACATCGAAAAAATGGTAAGGCTGGAGAAAGCAGCGTGGACGGCCTTAGACCTATGGAAGAAGTCACCAGTTATCTGGTTGACCCCGAACTTCGCACTAATCTGATCGATTCCACAGTTCTACCTGCGCTCTGTTACAGTCGGAGACATGGGTGACCAGTGCATCCACGTCAAGGGCTTTGAGCGTGACTCACAGAGCAATTGAGCGATGTCTTTTGAGGTTCAACCGGCTCACGTAAAGGCACAGTTCACGATAAAAATAGTTTCTAAGATTTCCTTATAGTATGAATTCGATACTCCCCTTATATCATACCTGCCGTTATATGGTCGACGTCTTGAAAACGGCTTCGTAGAGTATGCACTATCTCGAGAGACTCCCATGTAAAAAGTTGATTTTCCAGTTCCGGACAATATCGGCTTGATGTAGTCATCTGTTTGCGTAATAGGAGCAACTTAAACCTCGTCCAAACACCCATTACATGCCATTCCCGTCACGGTGATCTCGTACGACCTTCCCTTCCACTTCTTCTAAAAAGCCTCGAAGAAGACCGAGTCTCTCGCTTTCTTCGCCACCGATGTACTCCTCTTCATCAACACTTCCGCTTTCAAACCTAAAAAGGGTACCTAAAATGATCGTAAGCTGTAGAGAAGAGATAATGACGGATGGACCAGAAGGACAGTTGGGTGGGCCCTGTAGAACTTTCACTATTGCCTCGTGCAAAAAGCTAGAATGAAGTATGTGTTGAATATTCAATCGACTTACCAACGATACCCCTTCCCTCCCAAAGCTCATCAAAAAAAAACTGTGTGGTTTCGGCTATGAAACGTTAATGAGCTTAATTATCGACTAACCTGCTTAAGTTGAAGGTATGTTGAAGAAAGTGGAGGTCTCCCATTTACATTATCACCTCCGACAGACATATATAGCACGATGTCGGTACAGATCCAAATCACAGTTTTGAAGTATCCACTTCACTCCATGTCACTCACTTCACTCCGCAGTACTCTACTCCATAAACCTATCCTCCTTCTTATATAAAAAGGAAGTGCAGAATAGAGCTAGGTTTCCCATATCACTACCTTTATCGTAATCATAAGTTTCGCGGACGGACAGACCGACACACCGGCAAATCGACACACCAACAAACTTACAAACCGACACACCAAGTTTCTGCTCTATAAATGATTGAACTTTGAGGAGATGTCGTCGTAATCTGATAGGATAGGAGTATGATAGAGAAAGACGCGAAGAACGGCCGCTGGAACTTTCAGCAGGATTGGACACCAGCCTACAGCGCAAAGAAGACGCTGCAATGATGTGAGACCACGCTTCCTGGTTTTCGGATGAAAGATGCTTGGTCTTAAATTCCAGGATCTCAAGCCTTTGGACCTTGCTGCATGGTCGATTCAGAAGCAAAAAGTCTGCGCTTTCAAACACAGGTCTTTGGACTCTCTGAAAAAAGCTCTTTTGTGAAAGCGTGGAGTACTCTCAAGTTCCTGTTAGCACGAAGAGCGTTACAGATCGGATGGCGTTGCTATCACTATTTATCACAACTTATCACTTGTTATCAACCCCTATGATGTAGCATTAACAATCCCATCACATCCCTCATCGACCCAAGTGTCAAGGTTTCCTCGTTGACAGGGAAGCCGTGACCATTTCAGCCAATTCCATCTTTCGTTCCTTATCGGCTCTGCCAGTAGTTATCAGCTCTTCAATCAACCCTTGGCGGTACACCTAACATCACCTACTAAAAAGCCAGGTTCCACTGTAACACGAAGGGCGTGAAGGATTCTGCTTCTATTGTTTCTTAAGTTTCCATATAAGTCCCTATCAGTTGACGTCACTACTGTGACCTACTACCAGCTTCTTATCCTGCTGCTTGGCACCCACACACAGAAGCACACAAACACATACACATTCACATACTTAGAGCTTTGCATATAATAAGATTGTGTGTGCACAAGCATGAGACATTCATTGCTCATAGTGTTTTGTGAGATATATTTTATTTTGAACAATGCTGTGGTACATACTGCACGTGAAAATTTCTCCGTCATATGCTAAACATTTAAGATCGACGGTTGCCGTGAGCCGCCCGACGTTATCAGGTGCTTACTTTAATTTTGAATTTTATGAAGGTGGATTGAGATATCGTTTAAACGAAGGCGCATCTTCAACGGTGTCGTCTTGCTGAAATAGTGGTTTTCAACGCATTTCTGAAACCATTTAGAGATCCAAGAAGCAGCAATAGATTTGAACCATTTCACTTTAAGCGACGTCAAGTATATGTTACCGACTCCATTAAGTTGTGATAAGAAGAATTTACTAATGCGTGTGAGCCTATTATAGGTTCAACCAGGCCACTATCAAGGTTGTGTAAACGATATCAACTTGGTAGTGGTCTATCCAATTTGAGGTTCATCCGCTAGGCTACAATGCCCTGTCTAGGACTTTCAACAAAATCATGAGGCAACTCGTCATCAGGTTGGCGTTAGAACAAGTGAGAAACCGCGTTCAATGAGACCAGTCGGCCCGCCCAGCTAACTCCGGGCTTCCCTCCTTCTTATGGGTTC